CTCTTTCTCCCCCTCATCTATCTGTCGGTCTGTCTCTCTCTCTGTCTCTCTTTCTCTCTCTCTCTCTCTTTGTCTCTCTTTCTCCCCCTCATCTATCTGTCGGTCTGTCTCTCTCTCTGTCTCTCTTTCTCTCTCTCTCTCTCTCTCTCTTTGTCTCTCTTTCTCCCCCTCATCTATCTGTCGGTCTGTCTCTCTCTCTGTCTTTTTCTCTCTCTCTCTCTGTCTCTCATTCTCTCCCTCCCTCACTCTGTCTATCTGTCTGTTTGTCAATCTGTTTCTCTCTCTCTCTCTCTCTCTCTCTCTCTCTCTCTCTCTCTCTCTCTCTCTCACACACACACACACACACACACACACACACACACACACACACACACACAAATATAAAATATTGAATTCTCACACTTTCAGATCACGGAAAAGCACATGAAGCAATAATGATACATCTACCAATTAAAGAGTTTAATAGGATCCCTTACGCCTTCCATCTCCCATCTATATTTTTCTATTCATCAAAAAAATAATATTCGTCATTCTTTGGAAATCGAAAGAAACTCAGATTTTTATTTTAATAGGTACAGTTTATAGCGGAACACCATTGACACTTCGTGCTAACCGGGACCATGCTTGTCTGCGATCAACGAAAATGCCTTGAACAATGGACGCAGTTTGTTTTGTTTACCGCGCGTTTCTCCACGATCAGCTGGTGACCCAGATACGCGCATCCGGGCGAAGTGCCGTCTCTCTAGTATTACTGTAAACTCTCTGCCTACACCCATGGACCACGCATGCGCATGCCATGGATAGGAAGGCCGTTTTCTCGGAAACAGCCAGCAGTTAGCAGTTATAAGCTAGTGATGGGCCGATACCACAATTTAGGTATCGATGTTGATACCTAGTACTTTTTCAAGGTATCAATACCGATACCTTGATACCTATTTAATGCTATTAGTAACAGGGTAAAGAGTAACGACAAAAATACAACTTAAGGGCCTAATCTTCAAAGTATTTAGGTAATCGTGTCTAGACGGGTTTCCGCTAATTAGCTGAGACTCAAACAAAAATTATTTGTAAAGGAGAGAGAGAGAGAGAGAGAGAGAGAGAGAGAGAGAGAGAGAGAGAGAGAGGGAGAGAGGGAGGGAGAGGGAGGGAGAGGGGGAGAGAGAGTACCCAAATATTTATTGTATCGATACCCGCCCATCACTATAATATTATAAGTTATTTTGTTTCATTTCATTATTATTCATTGAATGCGTGCCAAAACCTGGACAGTGGGCAGTTTGACTCAGTTTGAGTGACCAGTTAGACCAGCCACTGTAAGTTTTCTTTCGTATTGGATTCTATAGATTATATTGGATCTCTGTCACCGTGAACATGAGTGAGGCGAACGTAGAATCTAGTGGAAGAAAGATAAAGGTAGATTCTAGATCTAGATCTAGACCCTAAAAAAATTGCCAGGCGCTATGGGGCTGTTCAAATCTGTTCAAATACATGTACATGTATGTATAATCTTACACCTGGAAAGGGGCCCCCAAGAACCAATGTAATACTGTATTACACTTTTGTGAGGTGAAAAAAAAAAAGAAAGAAAAAAAAGGGTAGCCTTGGTCAAGAAAGGCTGCATAGTGTGCAAAGGTCACAAGGAATGTGGAAAATATTTTCGAAGTATTGCAGCATTGAAGAGGCACAAGGCTTTACTCAGGGAAAAAAATGGAGGTGAAGGAAGAGAGACAGGCAGGAATTAGAATCTAGTTGAAACAGGACCCATATTTGGAAGACGGCTCAGCAGAACTGATGCCCTTGTTTTAAAACTATTTTTGACATATTGATGAACACTACTGCCTTTGTAAACTTTGTTGATGATAACTAATTTCACTTTTTGTTTTAAGCATATTGATCAGTAATAACAGATACAGTGGAATCCTGATAAAGGCAACTCTTGTTTACAATCAACACTTCTATGGTAAAGTTTCTTACCTTCTTTGTTTAAGTAATTGTGTTTCTGATACATGTACAGTCAACTGTTCAACCGCTTGAGTGTTAACCTTTTGTAAAGTCAACAATTTGTGGCTAAATTAAATCCCAAGATGAATTCATTTAAGAAGAGATATTTAAACCCTGAGCTAGTGCAGGTGTACACACCTCCACTCCAATTACTTTGTTCACTCATATCTCTTGTTTTGGTGACAACTTCAGAATTATACTCACTGACTGAAATTGAGCTTATCTAACATCTTGTTATTACTTTGTAATTTTGTAGCTCTACGTCATCTTCAATTTTCAATGGCAAGTATTGGATAAAGTTTAACCTTGCTCAAAGTCAACACGTTTTTCGGTCCTCATTCCACTGTAATTTTTTTTGGTAATTAAGGCGTTTTTGAAATTGACATGAGTCTCAATTTTTCCTTACTAGATCTAGATCTAGATCTAGTAGAGTGTATGCAATATTTTGCTTGATTAATCTACTATCTGTTATTTATTTAGTACCGGTAAATGTAGAACTGCATAATTAATTATTGTTTGGGCATACGTATGATATCTGTGTAGGCCTATGTGTTCCGCGCAATTTACCGATCTTAAGATTGCGCTGCACGTTTTAACGATCATATAATTGCGTGGCAATCTTAAGATTGTGGGCGCATAATTTTAACGATTATATAATTGTATCATTCTTGTGCTCTTCAGTTTCATATCTAATTTTAATTTTCATATTTTTGCACTTTTGAAAATATACGTGAATGTTCCTTGATGTGAGTAAAAGAATAAATTATGCGATCGTTAGAATGTGCAGAGCAATCTTAAGCATTGTCGCTCAATTATACGATCGTTAAAACGCGCAGTCTTAAGATTTCGCCGATTTGTAAATTCCGCGGAACATGTTCTTCATGAATATTATATAAAGCGCATGGACCAATGATTGAAACACGGATTTGTGAGATAAAAGATATAAATGCCATATTATTAGTATTATAAGCGAACAATAATAATATG